ATGAACATTTATTTGAAATAGAAATCTTTTGTATAATTATAAATGACTGTCACTTTTGATCAGTTTAATATGTCCTTGCTAAATAAAACTATTAATTTTGACCTAATTTTACCTTTACTTAAAATACACATTAAGGATATATATAAACTTAATAAAATAAGTGTCTATCTAAACCTCTAAAAGGCTTTGCAGCCGAATCCTGACATCATGACATTCAAACAGTTCTTGGAAGTCCATTGTGTCCTGTGGCATTTCACCTTACGCAATATCAGTTAATGATAACCAGACAGCACTTTGTGAAAGATCGCGATCGGAAAGGTCATTTTCTGCCCACGGTTTTAATCTTCACCCCAGTACAGCTGCTGGTCAGCCTAGTGCTTTCTGTAATCCCAGTGAAACGCCCTTGGTTGTCCTGGGGCTAAATGGACAGCTCATTTCAATTTCATTTAAACATTGGCAAGCCTTGATAAAAATGAGAATCCCAAACTGCTTATTGCTTAAACGAGCTTATTAGGCGCTCATATCCACGTCTTGTGCTGTCGAATCGAGTGTGATGACTCTTACATTCTTGTTTCATTTTTAGCTTAAATGAAAAAGCAAATTGCAACATTTTTCTGTGGCCTTAATCTGTGGATTAGGTCAGCTTTTGCGGTCTGGGAGGGTTGTGTTGTGTATATGTGTATGCGTAAAGATGGGAGGTGCCCTCCGGGTTAAGCGCTAAAGCCGCTTGGCCCAGATGAAAATGGTTTTCAGGATGGATGCCAATCATGGCAGGAATTTGTGATTCCAGCAAACTTGAGGGAGTCGGTCCACATCTGGACCAGGCCTTTCTATTTCACAGCACAGAAGACATGTGATCCTTAAAGATTCTGTCAGCTCTGCTTTTGTCACTATCCATAAATAATGCTTACTGCCATTGTAAAAATTAAGTGAGCTTAACTGTATTGAATGCGCACTTGTAGTGTACTTCACATCTTCAATGTGTGTATTAAATGAGAGACACTTTCATGATTGTTTCTTAACACACTTAAGTATACTTTTAAAAGTGCACTTTGCATTAAAGTCAAATTAAAAGTTTTACTTTAAAGTACATTTTAAAGCCTTATGTTTTAAATAAGTTAATTTCAAATTCATTTGAATGCATCTCATACAAGTTTCAATAGAAATTACGTTAGAAATGACACTCTGCAATACTCTTTAACCATATTTCAAAGACAGTAGAATTATTAAATTACATGTAAAGAAGCATTTAAGTCCTATTTAAGTGGGTCACAAAAGCACTCATATATTCAACTAATTGCATTTTATATCAATTTAAACTATAATACATTTTCATATAATTGCAGTTCATATGCACTTCAGTGTTGGAAAATATTACATTCAGTTTACACTTAAGTATATTTTTTTTTACTTTTTTTTCTGTAATAAGTATAGCCTACTGTTTTTGAGAGTATATGCTTAAGTGTACTTTTTATTACAAGGGTGCTGATCAATGTGAGAAAATATTAACATTCTCAAACATATTAACATTCTGAAACTTGGACAAAATTTGCAGAGCTTATGCCAAATTTTATTAATGAGCCCTAAATTGTAGAGAATTCATTTGTTTCATGATATCTGATGCCTAATTGGATGTGACTCTGTAATTATCATGTAGTTTTCTACTGACATTTGGGACTTTTCCTATACAAAGAGAGAGATTTTACTTTTTTTTTTTATTATTAATTTTAACTCATTCTGGAAATTGACAGACTATGAACATGCATACAAACAGCAATATACTTTTCTGACAAGTTATTTGGATTTGGGCAAAAATGCAAATGATGGTAAAGTCATAGGTTTGTGAATGTGCTTTAATCTGTGTATTCCTGATATTACAGAAGGTTTTTGTTCTCAGCCATGTCATTAGAACCATATATAGAAATATGTCTTCACACACACAAAAAAAGATATGCACAGATATGAGAACAGATTCTTTAATCACAGAGAAATCTTCAGACTCCATGTCATTAGAACCATATATAGAAATATGTCTTCACACACACAAAAAAAAGATATGCACAGATATGAGAACAGATTCTTTAATCACAGAGAAATCTTCAGACTTCAGAAACATTTTCTGTGTCTTTGAGCTTCTGATGCTAAAAATAGGCGAGATGCCGCACTTAAATGCTTTTAGAAGAAAAAATGTCGTCTCAGTGGAGATTCACTGCATGAATACAGCCAGGCCAGCATGTTCTCATGCTTCTCAAAATCTTATCTCCTTTCTTCACCCTGGACCTTGATACCACTTATCTGCACAAGGTTCATTGGTCTGTTTTTTTTTTTCGTTATTGTCTCTGTTTCTGTTATTCAGTTTGCATAACATTTGATAGAACATTTAGCAATTATAGTACATTTGAGACAAGACACTCTAAGTGAAGAGTGTAAAAACTAATAAATATCACCGTAATTCCCCAGTTGATTTGATTACATTTAGAATAGATTTTATAGGAATAAAATCTTATATAAAATTAGGCAAATGATATACAAAAAAAAACCTTCTGCAAAACCCTTCACAATATAGATAGAATTAAAACTGTTTAGAATTTAATTTTTCAAATTAAAGTGCTACTGAAGTTATTCAGTGAAGAACTCGTTTTAAAAAGAAAGCCTTTAAAATGCAAATTGGAATTGAAATCTACAAATGCAAATAGATGAAGTGCAATAAAATAAACATAAAAGTGTTTTTTTTTTTATGTTTTCTTTCCGCTAGTCTTTCCAGATAGCCTAAAATCTCAAAATTGACCAGTGTATGAAAAAACTGCTTTTGCCTGTAGTGTCTTGCCTTAAGTAACATTTTTTTTATTAAATTACAAATTATAAGCATAAAAGTTTGAAAAAAAAAGATAATGACTTGAGCTGCATGAACTCCACAAGCTGACCTGATGATCCTGCCATCCATATAGAAATATACGAACTTTCTTATTCAATAAAGTCAAAATGTTTCTTTGTTTAAAATTGTTTAAAACTTTTGTTTCTGGTTTAAATTAGATTTTGAATTCAGTGTGGTTTTAGACATTTGGACTCTACATGTATGTGCACATATAAGATGTATGAGAACATTTTATGCTGTTCCAGAGCCCCATATTTGTATCCATACTCTGACCTCTCCAGCTTCACACAGTGGCTTTTATCCATCAATGTTTCTCTCTGAGCAGATCTATCATTTATGTGTCTAACCATTTGTGTGTCCCTCATTCCTGATGTGTGCTCTTTCTCACCATCCTGCACTTTTAAAAAAAAACCTTTAAAATCTCCCATACCTTAATTTATACTCTGTATTTATAGAAAGCTCTCAGGAAGGAAGACTCAGTGGCGTTTACCTCTGAGGTCAGAAGGAAAGTGTGTATAAAAGAGAGCAGAAAGCAAGATTTCCACATCACTTCATCTCACAACGACTCCACAACCTGTAGCATGACATAGAGCCTGTAAAAGCCTCTGGCAATAACTCCTTACATGGCTTATGCCTCATAACTATTTCATCGCATATAGAAACATTAAGGCAGAAGGTCGAGGTGTTTGATTCACGAGTCTCATAAAGTGGCAGAATTGAAATATCGTCTCACAACGACTCCACAACCTGTAGCGTGACATAGAGCCTGTAAAAGCCTCTGGCAATAACTCCTTACATGGCTTATGCCTCATAAGTATTTCATCACATATAGAAACATTAAGGCAGAAGGTCGAGGTGTTTGATTCACGAGTCTCATAAAGTGGCAGAATTGAAATATCGATGCTCCTATGTGATCTGATATCAAACCCATTTTTCTGGAAAATAGGTAACACTTTACAACTTGGTTCAATTTATTAACATTATTAATGCATTAGGTGTTGTCAATGAAAAATAAAATTTTTTGCAACATTTATTAAATATGTTAATAAATTATAAATACTTTTGTTAATGTGATTCATTGATATTATTGTACATTAACATGCTCATTTATGCAACTTAAATTGTATTATATTAAATTGTAATTATGTATAATATTATAAATATTCTAAATTATATTAAAATTAATTTTACAAAATATTTTTAAATCATTTAATTATTTTACGTTAGCTATTTGATTAACTATTGTTCAAAAACAGAAACAAAACCCTAGTTTTTTTTAAATATACTATAAATATTATATTATATTATTATAAAATATATATTATAAATAGTATAAATAAAATGTTTGTATTTATTTATTTTTTTATTATTTTTTTATGCTAGCTGTTGCATTAACTAATGTTAAGAAAACTTATTGTGAAGTTATTAGTTGGTTACTAAAAAACAGGAATTAATTGACCAGCCCTTTATGGTGTGTGTTTGTTTGTTTGTTTGTTTGTTTGTTTGTTTGTTTATTTTGATCTATGGTCCATCTAAAACAAATCATGCAACAAGCTGTGCTGCTCTTTTTGCAAGGAAGGGCAAAAATATAAATATCTCTAGCTTTCAGACTTGCAAATTGGAATTGCATTGGACTTGCAAATTAGCAGCATCCAGAACAGATTAGCAACTGCATACACCCATATCAACATGTTTAAATCCACTCTGAGCACCTTAGCAACAACCTAGCAACCAGCCATTACACCTTTACATATTTTCTCAAAAAAAAATAAAATACATGCAAAAATGCAGATTGCTGCTTTTTTGATTGGTGAATTATCAAGGCAAACAACCTGAGAATGAAAGCTACAGTTTTAAATCACAACCACATGCGGTCATTTTTTGATTTGCAACCTTCCTGATATATTCCTGATCACTGCATTGTGAATATAATGGTGAGGCATAGGCAGCCTTTAGTTGCGTAGCAGAGAGAGAGAAGACATGCTGTGTGAGTGTATTTATATTTTTAAAAAAAGTGCTCTTAAGCATTCCATCATTTACGTCCCTGCAGCCTCTCTCTGTCCCCCCCAACCCCTCTTCCTCCTCCTACAGAGAGAGAGAGAGAGAGAGTCAGTACGCAGAGAGGACTCCAGTCTGCTGGAGCACAGCACTGCTCGCTTTCTTGAGAGGAGAGAGGCAGAGAACCACAAGCCTTCTCCTCCTCCTCCATCCGTGTGAGACTGGTACAGCACAGCACGCGTGTTGGCTGGTGGACGCAGCAGCAGTGTTAGCATTAGCAGGAGATCTGTGCTCAAGCTTCCAAAATGCTCAACAACCTCACCGAATGCGAAGAGGGCGATGGGGGACCCAACAGTCAGGGTGAGTGGACTGATCCTGCAACTGCTATTGGGTGTGTGTGTGTGTTTGTGTGTGTGTGTGTGTGTGTGTGTGTGTCTGGAGATATTCTTCAGGATCTCTATCTCTCAATCTGAAATAATGTCATGATATCTGATGATGCGAGGCTCGTCCCACTCCACTTCCTCTTTCACTGGTGCGTAAATTAGTCTGGGGTTTCCTCCACCTGTGCTGTACCTACAGGACAGCGCCCTCTGCCTCTTGGAGGTCTGATTGATGTCAGAATATGAGTGCAAATATTCTTGCACTATCATAATCAGTGATGCTTTTGTATTTGTGTGCATGTGTGTATGTGGCAAGGAAGCATTCAAAGAAATTATACGGTTGGAAATTATTTTTTGTGTGTGTGTGTGTGTGTTGGTGTGTATGCAGCTTTGGCAAAAGCTGTGTGTGTGTGTGTGAGAGTGAGTGAGTGT